TTGCTGCCACCTACTGGCGGTTTTAATTTCACATTTCGACTATTTTTTCCAATTTTTTTCATGTTTTAAATCACTTCAAATATCAGTATTCAACGTTTTATGTTTAATATATCAAAACATTACTTATGCATGTGTAATTGCAGGTTAAATTCATTCATGTCTTGCATTAAACCGTGTGTAAATACATCTAAATGCCACTTCAGATGCAGATTCTGTGTTGATTTCATTTGCTTGGTAAAAACCCAAATGTCTTATACCGGTAATTCTAATTCACTGATTAAATGTAAGAATTTGACTCAAAAGATAATGGACACTTTTAGAAAAAATGGCTTTATAAAGGTAAAAATGCCCATAAAATGTAGAAATCAGTTTAAAGTTATTGGAAAAGATTAATTTATATTAGTGTGAATAATAAATAAATAAATAAAAAATAATATTCATGTTTAATAATTTTAGACACATGATTTTACTGAAGGCTACCAGGATAATTATAACTGAGTTTAGTAAATTCATAAACATAAACAAACTATATCTTTGCTATTTCCAGTTTGTAGCGTGGATCATTCATTGCAACATTTAATCTGATTCTCATGTTTAAGAATCTGTTATCTTGAAAAATAATGTATGCTACTACTGCCCACTGACTTGGTTTTAAACCTATATTATTATCCAATTTATGAGCCTTAAAACATCTTAAAATACACACATGTAAATCATGACTTGAAAAATTATTTATGCTACTACTGCCCACTGACTTGGTTTTAATGCTATATTATTATCCAATTTATGAGCCTTAAAACACATTAAAATGCACACATGTAGGTCAGGAAAATCTAAATTTTCTCGGGGGAGCATGTCCCCGAACCCCCCTACCAATCTTTATTTTGGGACCTCGGAATTTATAAAAACCTGTGTACGGCCCTGCATACTATGGCATTGAGAGAACTGTAGATTTTTTTTTAGTATACAAAAGTGCAATGAACTATTTTAATAATAATCGCAATATGAACAATAACTACTAATAAATTAAATAAACCTAATGTAAATGTTTGACCTGAATCTCATTCAGTGAAAGCTTGTGACGTGTGTATTCCCATCTCCTTTTCACACACAGTGATGCTTTTTCATAATTAAGTGCCAAAGCATCAATAAAGCAAACGGTATTCGTGAATATACACAGTTTAAACGATTACATATGCGCAAACAAAGTACTTAGTGGATTGTAGCGTGTTTCTTCTCTCTCCTGTCTGTGAGCCCGGGTGGGTTTAAAGGTGTTGATGGACAGAGACGTGGAAAGGCCACCCCCGCGCGCCCGCTGGATAATGTGATATCCCGGAGTGGATCATCCAGCGGAATAGATTCACTTCAAACTAATACTCAGTGTTTATCTTGACACACCTAAGCAAATACACACGCTTGCATTGCAGTTACATTTATGTAAAGCACATCTTTTGTGCCACAGCGTAGGTTTATTGCTTAATAACCTGTTTATGCGTACAGGAGTTTACCTTCACATGTACAACCTGCGTTTGATATTTCTATCAGGCACCGATAGTAAACATTTAAATAGGTAACGATAAAAATAATGGCGTTAGATGAGTTCTTGATTAATGCGTGCATTGGTTTATTGCATATTTCCTGTATGAGAATCTGAATAAATGATGCAAGTCGCATGTAACAGCACTGGTTTAAAACGCGTCTTGGAGAATCCGTTCCGGGTTTTTCTTCGGCTCCGACTGGATGATTTGTGTGTATACGGAGCACACGGGGCAGATAGAGGAGAGAGACGGGAATGGATCCGTAGCGCTTGCGGCTGGCCGTCTCGTTTTCCGGGACTCTCGTTTTGAATACAGCGAGGCTTCGGGTCTTGCATGGTACATTTGAATGAGAGCAGGAACGCACAGCGGCGGGAAACAAAGGCGCAAAGGAGCAAGCTGGCTGCGCGGCGGGGGATGCAGGGCACAATAGGGAAGACCACACTTCTGCTTTAGGAGGACAGTGTTGCAATAACACCCCCTATACACCCCCCCCCCCCCCCC